TGTGTGTGTGTGTGTGTGTGTGTGTGTGTGTGTGTGTGTGTGTGTGTGTGTGTGTGTGTGTGTGTTTCTGTGTGTGTGTGTTTCTTTTTTATTGGACGGGTTTTTCCTACAACATGGGGACCATTTTACCAAACAAGCAGCCTTATGGGGATTGAAGTGAATCATGGGGACCACTGTCAGGTCTCCACAGGTCCAAATGCATGTTCCGGGCGGTGAGTCAGGTTTAGGACCAAGGTTTCTGTTAGTTTTAGGGTAAATAGTCAGGTTTAGGACCAAGGTTTAAGTTAGTTTTAGGGTAAATAGTCAGGTTTAGGACCAAGGTTTATGTTAGTTTTAGGGTAAATAGTCAGGTTTAGGACATGAAGTGTAACAAATGAATGGAAGTCAAAGGAAGGTTCTCACAGGGTTGAAGAACAAACATGTGAACAAACAACAAAGACCTGGTTCTGACCCGGTTCTGTGTGTCCACAGCCGAAGCAGATCGGGGATGATTTCTGCGGTCTGGTACTGAACCAGCCTCTGGGGGGTCTCAGGGTCATCGAGGGCCACCCGCTGTACGAGGACCGGACCGAGGGGATGGGTGCCGTGGCGGCCTACACCTACAGCGAGCACACGGTGGTGTTTGTGGGGACCCGGAGCGGACAGCTGAAGAAGGTAGGAGGGGGCGGGGCCTGTGGCCTGTCCAAGGCTTTGTGGTGTTCACTCTTGTTAACCTGCTTATGAATCCTGACAGGAAACAGAAAGTGCTCACTTCCTGCTCACCTGACTCAGGTGTGCTTCTGTTGTTCTTCTACAGGTTCCTGCTGTAACTCATTCAGGTGGTCTTCACAGCTGAGGGTCCGTAGACTGGGTTCAGTTAGGGTTCACATTCACACTGCACTTCATCAACACAACTAAACCTGTAAACAAGCTGTTCCCTCCCTCACCTGTGGGGGCGCTGCACAAACAAACACTAAAGGAATAAAAACCTCAGAAGATGACCTGGAGCTCCTTCTTCACAACATCTGACTGCTTACAGGCTTTAGTTGTTGTTTTTACACAACCACAGTGTGTTGTTTTTACACAACCACAGTGTGTTGTTTTTACACAACCACAGTGTGTTGTTTTTACACAACCACAGTGTGTTGTTTTTACACAACCACAGTGTGTTGTTTTTACACAACCACAGTGTGTTGTTTTTA